AATCTAAAAAGTAAAAGAAGTAATTCAATTTCACATTTAATACACATTAGAATGACTAGCTTTAATGTAATATCTAGTACTGTTATTATTTCTTGGCAATATGACTTGTGGTTGAAATACGACTTACATACATATCTATTTTAATATATCGATCACTTTGGAAAGGTTGTCTGCAAGACTTCGACTTTACGCGACATTTCAAATTACTCTCAACTATTTTGTACTTGCCTCTTATATGTACTGAAATCGACCAAATGTAATTATCAATTAATTATATAAAAATCCTCTATTTCAATGAAGTACGTACTTTAAATAATAGTACCACTCCGGTTATTGAATAATCTGGGACCAAAATTGTTATTATTTTGTATTATACTCCACCGACATAGAAATCCAGTCTTGAGCGCCCCCTCCGCATATGTCAGCTTCTCACGTACATTTCTGCAGCTCTCAAATCGACTCGAGTATGGATTACATACAGCCGACGACTTGAGCCACCCTATACCTACTACAAAATAACAGGCTTAAGTCAAAAGAAAAGGCGTCATTGTGCCACAGTTTGTCAAAAGTGACATAGTTTTGATTTTCAAGGAAGCTTTTGATCAAAAAATTTACTACATAACTACCGCTATAAGTGCATATGAAAGGTTTTTAAATCGAATTATGAAAATTCAATAGGTTATTTTAGTATTTTCTTCAATTTCAATATCAACTTCTACGATATTTAGTAATTACAATATTTTATGTTACATTTGGGATACCTCAAGGAAGCATTATGGATCAAAATTATGAACGTCTTTAACGTCATTAAATTAAGTATAGATATATTTTGCTCGAATTTTCAACTAGTTGCATATTACATTATATCAAACAAACCATAATAAACCAACTTTGAAAACATTTTTAACTCTGTTTGGTTATTGATTTATTTTATTTACTTCATAAACTTGTACCACACACATTTCATCCGCCATATTCACTCGGTTGGCGCCCCTACGCAACAAGACGATGCCGATGTATTGAAATTTGTCGCGTCGCACAGCCCTTTGACTTACTTCATGCTACCAAAGTTGCTGACTGTTATTGAAGCGTATACGTCTACGAAGTTCAGCTTAAATTTAAGACGTCTATTGTTCTATGTGACGTGTATTGCTGATATTATAAGTTAGTTTGCAGCTTATGTTGCTTAAATTATTATTATTTGAGCATTTATGACGTACTCTCAATTAGTTAGTCTTCTATGTCCGTAATAGGTACTTTAATTTCAAAAGGTACAGGTGCACATTTTTAGTCAACTGAGTTTCTTGTAATAATGTTCCTAACTGCCAAAATTTACTCACATTCTAGGATATACTTTGTCCTATTTCTGAATACTATTGAAAACCGATAAGCCTTCTAAATATTGAGGAAACCGTTAGAAATTCTTAATGATGTTAAGAATTAGGATATATTTTAAAGGGAACTTGTTTTAGTATCTAGGTAATACTAAAATAATATATAAAAATTATTAAAGAAATAGTCTGACTAAATTCTTCAACGGACCGAATTCACTAAAATTGTTGCTACATATAGTGAATTAACAAGATTAGTTTCTGTAGAAGCAATCCAAAAACTACAGTCACAAAACTTTTAAAACAAATTGGTATAATGACATGAAACTCGCACCCGTGTTTCACTTCTTTTGTAAACAGTCACACTGACTTACCTGGATACTTACCAATGTTTCTGCAGTTTGGCAAGTCACTCACCGGCGCGACGTAAGGTTAAAGTCATCGAGAGAAAGGTAGCCGCACTCTATGTAACCAGTCCCTCGGGAGATCAGAAGCTTCTGTGCCAAATCGTGGAATATTTTATTTATAACCATGATAGTATATTTTAACCTTTCCCAGAGCCATGAAAAATATGTTTTGCAAGTAGCATGATGATTTTAAATACGAACGATTTTAAATATTTCAGTGCGTTAAAGAAACGCTTGACATGATTATTGTCTTTGAATTCTAATCTAGCTATATTAACTATATTAGATTAATTTTCAAATAATACATCGTAGTACTTTCTTCCATATTATACACGTTTATCAGTTTCATCTTGTTCTACCTTTTTATTTCAGCTAGTCACCGTCTCGGCAGCACATTTACTTCACTTCCTCCAACAAGTCCCCTGAGACTCACCTGCCGAAGCCTCCTCTCTGAGACCTTTTACTTTACCGCCCTTTGTTTCCTAAATGTTAAAAGGTTGCAAAATAATGTTCCGATCCCAATGGAATGGTAAGCTGTGATATTAATCTAAAGAAAGTACTTTTAGTAAATAGTACTAATATGGTCAAAAATAAGACTAAACATTTGCTAAAATTAACAAAGACTATTTCTTTATGGGGAATAAATCGTCGAACTATACTACTTCTCCCGCCTGTGAGAGGCGGGAGGGAGTGTGAGACTCTTACCGACTAAAAACCACCCCGTTCCTACTCCTGTACATCGAGCCGTAACCCGTTAAGTTCTTCGCGGCTCCGTATCGGCGTCAGCCCTATTGGGCCCCATCCGTAGTGGTCTGATGGCTCTTTGAGTACGCTCGGGTCTGGTTCTGGTCAGGCGGCGAGCTATCCATGCTCGCCGTCCGCAGGCCCGCGCTTACGGTGGCCGGAGATCGTCCCGCGATCCCCGACGCCCGGATTGTCCTTCACGACGGCTGGGTTGTGAGGAGGCAGCGCTTTGCTGCCTCATCCAATATGCTTAAGTTACTAACCGGCGCAACTTCTAACTTCTAATGTTAAGGAGAGTAATGCTATAAAGAACCTATATGATTTTAAATGATTTGAAAATACTTGTACACACCCTGCATTTTGATTAAAATGTAATTATTAAAAAATGATTTACTTGTAAATTTTGTTAAGTCTTTTAAGGAAATAAAATAACTGTAAAACTGCTACCGTATGATTTGACAAAAGACCCTCAAGGGAAATGAAAAACACAAAAAAATTGACAAGCGGTAAAGTACAATAAATCCTTCAAACGGCTCCGGTAGCATAATCTTGTTATTTGCATACAAATCTTAGTAACAATAACATCTTTTGTCTACAATAAGAAGATCTACAAAAATTATAACCCTTTAACGCGCCGGACAAAAAGAGTTATTGTGAAGAAACATTGCCAACCTTCGGACAAATGAGGGGTTTCGGCTAATTTGTGAGTTTTTGCAATATTTTTTACACCGTCTAAGTCTAGGACAAAAAGCAAAAATCTTTTCGCTGATGTACCGCCTGTCAATACTTTTTCAAAAATTTTGCTAGCAATATACCTTTATGTTTACTTTTCTGGTTTGAATAGCGAATACTCAATTTCTATATCCATATTTCTAATTCCATTTATTTCATTGCTGCGTGTAAGATTAGTGGTCACTTACGGCACAAATGAGGCACGCGATCACTTTTTGTTGATCGGCAATTTGGATAATGGCTTTTAATATCGGTAATTGGTGGATGAAAAAATCGTTTTGGTCACTGATTACGATTTTGAAATAAGTAATTTGCATAGAACCACACTAAGTATATTTGATTCAGGCCATACCGAGACGGATAATTCTCAAAATTCAGGAATCAAAACTTACATAATTTCAAATCTCTTTCAAAACCGTAAACTCGCTGAAATATTTGTGGAATTTTTCTCATTTTAAAATTCTGAAATTTAAAATAATAATAATAAATTTTCAAGTGTGAAAAATCCTCCTTGAACCGATATTAAAACTGTGAACATAACTACAAGTTATATCAGAGTTGATAAAACTGTAGTCGTCAGTCGCGCTGGAGATGTTGCGTGCCGGCCACACAATGAGCCGGCGACGTTGATTAATGATCTTACATTCAACGAATACATTACGATTTTTGCTTTCATTTCGTTCGATACGAATGTCACAAGGTTATGATATCGATGCCAGACGAGCGATCGGTGCGTAGGAGTAACTTGTGATGCATGCCGATATGCTTGGATGCGATTTTGGTTGAATGTAAATTGAGTACTTGCTTAACAAGATCGCTTGGGGCGAGGTAAAACTTCCAATGAATGTAATTCAATTTAACTAGACAGTGTAATTGAAGTATCTACCATAGCTAAATTCGGAATAGTAATCTATTTTTTATCTTATTACAATTTGACATTAATATTGTCTTGTCCGTATTCATTTCATTTTGTAACTAAGAATTTAAATAAAAGATATACGTATTTTCATTACTATATTTATTGGTTTTGTATTCACATTTTTCTATTTCAGTTACAAAACAATTTCTCGTTAAAAATTAAATCCACATTTTGTACCTAAGCCTAAGTCATTGTCTACATCACAAAGTCGTGAACGTTATAAACGACGTCTTTATCATTAGGATTATTTTATACAATACATAGCACATCTACCCATCTGTAACTTTAATTAGGAACAGCATAATAATACGAAATAATGATTTATTTTACATTAAAGCATTCAGCTAATCTCCAAAATATTTAGAAATTGCATAAAATAATTCTTAATAAACAGGAGTACAAAAGCTACATTTTATGAAAATGTAAATGAAATAGAGTGCTTATGACAGATTGGTAGATGTCACCAAAATAAGAAAATATAGTAGAATGGTAACTAAAGAGTAAGTAGATAGTTTAGCGAACATCGATGACGAATATTTATATATTCATGCAACGTATAAAAAGTTAGTTATTAATTTAATAAATACAATTGTTACTACTGACAATGACTTAAAATAAAATGTACAAATTCAACACTCAGAAGATGTTTACCTACCCTAAAATAATAATAATCACACTTTTGACATTGTAAAGTTTTCCACCTAACTATCCAAACATCCGATTATGACTGATTACTCTAACATACTTACACAACTTAAACAAATCTTAAATTAAATTAATCACTTTATTACACCTTAGACACAAAGGAATGGTAAGAATTACAGTTCGATAATGAAAAATAGAGTTTTTTCTTTACACATCTAAAGATTATAAGGCGGTTAGACCGTAGTCTGATTTGATGACTGGTTGATTGGATGGGATGCCAGTGCCGCAGCCTGCCGTGCCGACGGGTGACCCGTGGGCTGCGAGGTTAGCAAGCAGAGCCGGGTCCATGCCTCCGTGCATGCTCATCATGTGAAGGTGATGCGGTGTCATGGGGTGCCCTGGATTCATCTGGCTCCCTGGGTGAGACATTGGACTGATCGCTGGATCGTGCGACAAATTTTGTTGAGCTCCAACACAATGTAAATCATTCATTATGTTATCTGTAACATTTTCTATACTGTCCGGTCGGCCATTATTGTTTGATTTTTTCTTATCATTGTTATTTGTATTCTTATTTGATCTACTCTTTGGTGTGCCCTTAGTCGTGGTTGTAGTGACGCCTGCTGGATTGGTTTTTCTCCTCACATTTTTGGTGTTGGGCAATTTATTGTCTTTCTTCCACTTCATCCTTCTGTTTTGGAACCAGATTTTGATTTGTCTCTCCGATAAGACTAGAGTGTGAGCTATCTCTATTCTTCTTCTTCGCGTAAGGTATCGATTGTAGTGGAATTCTTTTTCAAGTTCTAGTATTTGGTGTCTTGTGTAGGCTGTGCGTTGGCGCTTCGGTTCCATTCCAGGTTGAAACTGGCCATTGGCTGTTGAAGAAAGAAGAATAGTTATTAAAATATGTAAATAATTTTAAGTCAAGTTTAAGGAGTAACGGCTATTTGAATCAATCAATGTTTTATATGTGTTGGTCTGAAAAACCGAACTATAAACACCACACCCATTTGAAACTTTACCTAACAAATAACAAAATATAAATAAGGCCGTACCTACATCAGTAGCGTTGCGTGCTCGACGTACAATAATTTATGTACGAGCCGTTGTGTTAATTAATGTGCATAATAATTACACATGCATGCGCCTGAGCTTCCTTTTTGTTTTGATTAATTGCGCCTAGTAAATTAGTTGTACAGACACCGTGGACATTGATACGATTTCATACACCTTTTATGGCTTGTTAAAACTTTGCACGTAATATGTACGTACATATAAGGAAGTTGTTTATAACAACATTATGTATTTGAGTATGTGTTAAGGTTGTTTGAATAATTTCAATTTCGTTTGTTGTCAATTTTGATTGATTACTTGAATTGTAAGACACTTTTACTTTTAGATTAGTGAGGCAAATTACTTGTCTGGCAAAGTCGTTATTACCGTCTGTCAATATACTAACAGTTGGTAGCGATTATTCGTTTTATGTAGAACACATATTTTTAATCTTATGTTTAGCTATATTATTCTGACAACGATTGGTTCCATCTATATTTTTAACAAATAATTATTCTGTGTCTTTACAATTACTTCTTCTTACTTAATGTAATAGAGATAGTAATAGTACATCAATATCTTTATTGAATTCCTTTTGAGTAACTCGAGCTATGAGGTAACAATCTGACGTCATCTGTGCCTTCAGCCTAATAAATCAAGCTTCGTATAATTCAGGTTTAATCTACGAATTCTATAGGGCCACCCATTCAATTACCTACACCTTTACCTATGCTATCTAGATTAAAGATAAATGTCTTTTTCGTCCCACAAAATTCAGTCCTGGTACCAAGGTCATAAAGTTCAAAAGCTTAGTACGAAACCTCACTTGAATGTTCAATAGAGTTAATATTCTTGGTAGAATAGTTCTATTGTCACCCAAGTCCTAGTAATTTCGTAATTTCCTCTGGAGGAAATTGCCTTTATACTCGACGTCAAAGGAGCTTAGGAGTCAATGAAATGTCTTTTTTATTTAGAAAGAATAGGACCGAATGGAAAATTCTGGAATTCATTACAGTTCATTCTTTTATAGTTATATGACTTCACAAAATCGAGCACCTAGATATTGTTCAGTATACTTACTTGAGGCGAGTTTGGAAATATTTTTTGGGAGGATAATGCAGTAATATGGTCTTAGTAACATCGAATTTAGAGGTACATAGTTTTGACAATGCCATCTTACCGCTCTATCAAATCAGAAGACCAATGACAATATTTTTGTGAGTAACGGAGATCTTTAGTGTGTTGTAAAAAGTGTTTATTACAAAAAATATTATTATTAATGAGGGTATCAATTTTTATTTCTAATCTTATCAATTATTATTTATATAATATTCAAGCTAAAATCTCGCATTTCTTACGATCAAAACCGACATAAAAGCAAACGTTGATATTACGATTATAAATACTTATCTAGGTATAATAAGTATTAAAATAATGTATAATACATTTCAAAATAACAAAACAGATATAAATCGTCAAAGATAAACAGTTTTTTATACATTCATTGTACCACATATGAAATAGAAATCAAGAAACTCCATCCGCTGCAATGGCCGAACAGTAAGAGTAACATAACGCACACACAACGAAATGAACTTCCTTTTATTTATATCGATAAGACAAAAAGATAATCAGGAATGAGATCACTAATCTGTAATCTATACATAAGAGCGTTGGTGAGAAAGGGATAGGTATATTTCTGTGGGGTTCGTTGTGGTATTTCTTTGAATCTCCGCGGTTCTGGTATGTGCGGTCGCCGGGTTGAGCCGAGATTCCCGCTGACCACTGACAACTCTACATTGAGCAGGGTCTAGGGATCGCACCAAATAAATATGGAGATACACTCGGCTAGTTTTAGGTATTTTGGCTTACAGATACAATGAAAATAAGGGAAACTGGAGGCGTGTCTGTTATTGTGGCCATGTGGCATGTAGTTATGCTGCATTTCCTTTTATGAACGATGATATTAAAATTTTCAAAATTAAATTGTTAAGCCTTTGACTGCCGACAGAAAACTGCTGAAGGCAAATAAGAAAAGAAGAAAAGAAAAGAAAACCATTTATTTTGCTACGACACACAACAAGAATTTAGAAACACAAAAAAAAAGCCTATGGTGGGTCGCAGGCTGGAGCTCAGCTTAATACCGTGGACCGGGCACAGAGGCTCGAGCCCACGGCGCTGATTTTCAGCACCAGCCCAAATCCTTCGCTAACGTAGGTCACCGGTGACCTACGCGTCGGTTAACGTGTTAATCAAGTGATTAAAACCTATGCGTACTTACCACATGGTTCTGAGTATCTACTGAGTCCAAATTTAGCCAAAAATCTCTCAAGACAGGTAGATTAATTGCACGTTTTAATTTGTTGGTCCTCTGTACAATGAGTTACATGGAATTAATCATACTTATTTTATAAGGCTTTGGTACAAAATATTACCATAATCTTCTTCAATCAATTTAGTTCCGTTAAATCTATAAGTATGAACACGCAACCGAATTATTTTATAGCCTGAGAACTTGCTCGGGCTTATCTTAGAGCTATTGTTTAAATTTACAATGAATTGGATGAAAATATCAATGAAGCCCTAGCTATATTAAGCCCTAATAAGAAATATTGCTTTCGAGGTTTATGTAAATTCTAAACTATGATAGATAGGTAAAACCTCTATTAAAGTCATATATTAGGGCTAGGCTGATGACAATAACGATGAAACAGATGAACGATTTAGTATGTTTTCTGATTTTGGCCAGTGTACAAAATAGCTGCATAATTTAGAATCGTAAATCAATCCACCAAAAAGTACAAATACTTGTCTAGGAAATGAATAAAATAGAATAAGTAGTGATACGAAGATATATTTAATAGGATAGATTTTTTATATTTCATAGAGGAAACTATTGTAGTTAAAGATATATGTACGGTAATTATTGTAGTTTCATTCTAATTTCAAAAGTCCAGTAGCTACAACTGCTAGTGTTTGTCAAAGTGACCGTAATCAATTACCGACGAATAATTCAAACGTCCGAGACGACAAACAGACTTTATTGACTGATTAGCTGTGAAAACGATTAAAATGCTTTGGTACTCGTAGCGTGAAACTAAAATACGGAGGTAAACGTAGCCTATTCTTATTCAGTGGGTTAGGCAGCAATTGTATCACATTGAACGTTTTGAGTTCCAAAGAACTGGTTGATTTTTACTCAGAATTTCAGAATTTATCCAGAATAAATTAAAAATTCCTGGCGTGATAGGTAGTTTGACATACAACCAATCGAGCAACAAATCAGTAAAATCTTTCTATTCATTGAGATGTTAATTTTCGAGATGACATAACGTAATTCTAATAGAGATATTGTTAAGGATAAAGTTCTTCCAAAATAGTGATCAATGTTGTGACATTGATGGGAACTTAGTAGCATATCATTTTAATATTCTTTTAAAAGCTTGTATCAGTAACCGGACAAAAGCAACAACTCATTATTTTAATCATCATCGGGACCGCTACTCGCTACCGGTGCTCGATCTTCGCTTCGTTAGCCACTATCACGTCATCAAGACGATGACAATCTCAATTGAATTACGAGCTACCTGCGACCAACGTGTGGTCCATCTGTTAATCTCGAGTCGATCTTACGACGCATGCGCTATCGGCCTCTCGAGGTGGTCCCGCCTCATTACGTCCAACTTGCGATGGATCTAAAGCCTCTCTGTCCCACTATTGTGTACCATGAAAAATGTTAGTCCAATGACAGGTGTCGATAAGCCAAGTCTCTCTTTTAAATTCGGAATAAAACGCGCGAATGTGATACTAGCAATTTCTTTGACGATCAATCAATTCGATCGGTTCGTTAATGATGTTACAATGGATGAGGATTGCTTTAATGTTTGTCGTTTTAATCGTGAAGGATTTCACTTTTAGTGTAACTTTGTTTGACAGTTTATTAAATTTGTTTGTTCAAACATTAAGGCAGTCAACAAAACGAAATTAAATAAATAATAATAAAATCTTTATTCATTATAAGAAATTGGTCATATTACAGATAAACATCTTAATTTAAAATCAGCGATCGCACTAGGTTTAGTGCCTGTACTAGGAAGAATATCCTGTATCACAGGCGAGAGGAGCACTCACAATAATACTAATTCTAGGACAAGTTATTTATATAAACAAATTCCTTAACATAAGTAATCGATCAAAGGTAAAGTTGATTATTTAATATACATACATACACAAGTACATGACTACATAACATGATATATAACTAAATATTAATATTATAGTATAAGTACATTTATTTAACAAGTAAACATTACAGCTTAAATACAAAATAATAGATAGATATACATATTATATTATATATATATATAAAACATTGTAGGAACTATAGTACTGAAGAATTTGATACATCAACAGAAACATAATCTAGTTTACAGTCCAAACGGTCATTCACTCGGTGTTACAATAAAATATGCTTGAACAGCAACAAATTGTTGAGTACGCCAACTTGTTGCGATGTTAATTAATGTGCAAGGAAAGGTTAATCAACTCTGTAATCTGAGAATATGACAATCACGCGTCCTCATAATCGATAGAGTTGATATACCTATATTCAGCTATTTTCCTAGCCGGACAGTCAGTGTCTCCGGTTTTATGTTTATTGGGCTTATTGTAACGAGAGCATGTAGCACATTTAGAGGATTCCGACTTTTTAGTGCACGAGGATTGTACATGTCCTGCTTCTCCACAATGGCCACACGATGAGTTGATCTCTCTGCATGATTTTGCTGCGTGTCCATATAGTTGGCAATTGTAGCATCGCGTT